TGCCAATATGGTTGTAGTAGGTTAGGTTTCGGCCCTGTGATGGACTTGCAACCAGTCCAGGGTGTCCCCCGCCTCTCGCACAGTGACTGCTGGATATGGGCATCAGTGACCCAAGAAGGAAGAAGTGGGTAAAATGTAATGGATGGATGGATGATGGGTTGGGTTTCACAGTTATTAATAACCTTTTTTTTTATTGATTAATTTTATTACCAAGACCCCCAGCAATCCAATTTCATAAAACTTATTGAGGAGGTCATTAAATAATAAAATAAAACAAAATAAAAACCTGGCAAATGACATTTGTCTTTCTTTCTCTTTTTTTTTCCTTCCTTTGTTTCTTTGTTTATTGTAAAGACTGGAAACAGAAGCTTTCTTCACAGAAGATAAAATGGACCAAATTGCAGTTTATGTGAGATTAAAGTGAACTTTTATAGGTTAGGAGTTTGTTTCAGTGTTTACACAGAATATGAGCGTATGTATGGCAGTTCATTAGAATGAGGAGGAAGTCCAACTATGGATACAACAAGTGTTTATTTGGCTGCTGGAATCAAATAGATTCAGCTTGAATGACAGTTGTCATAGTGGACAGAAGACACCACGACAACTAAATGCTGCTACAGCACGTCCTTCAGTTAGCGGTTTGTCCTTACTTTGAGTTTCCCATCTGCTATTCTACTGTATGATTTGAAATAATTATTTGCCAAAGCTACATGTACATTACTTTTATGTTCTGATGCAGGCTCAGTAATTCAGGTAGCTAAATCTAACAAGGTTTAGTCAGGTCCTCTGGTGTGATTCTTCTTTGTTGAAACGTTTCATCTTTTGGGGCAGCTGTGGCTGAGTGGCTAGAGCAGTTGTCCGCCATTGGGAGAGATGGAGGTTTGATTCCACCAACAGTCACATGTTGAAGTGTCCCTGGGCAAGGCACTGAATCCCTCATTTTTTTTTTTTTTTTTAAAGAGAGAAGAAAGAAGAATAATTAAATAATAAAAGAGAAATAGATAAGACGAGAGACCACCACGACAAAACAACATGCACAGCACAATGCCACCCACAATATCACCATGAAACATTCGACATTGCACAAGGAATCATCTAGCTTCCACCACTACCCAACCTAGCGTGCATCTGTCACAGCACCTGAATCCAAACACCCGCGCAAGCACGCCTGCCACCACCAGATTTCTCCAAAAGAATGCCCAATAGTGGACGCGGGGGCCCACAGACCCGTCCCCCAGGACACAATGGCAACATAGGGAGGACCGGAGCCACAGACACACAGCGGCCCACAGGCCCGGAGCCCCAGGAGTCTCTCAACAGGGAGAACCGCACCCCCCCAGAGAGGAGCAGAGGAAAGAACCGGGTGACCCCAGCCACCACAATGCAGAGCCTCCAGGAAGCTGCAGCGATGAGCCCACAGGTCCGGCCGGCGACCCATGCCCCCCCCAAGTAGATCCGGCCATGGACACCGAGCCCCAAGCCCCGAGGCCATACCACCCCCCGGCAGAGCCCCGACAGAGCCAGGACACCCAGGCCCCGCCAGGCAGCAACCAGGGCAGACCGACGTGCACCCCACCACCCAGCCCACTGAATCCCTCATTGCCTCTGATGTGTGTTTCATCAGTGTATGAATGTGATCTAAAGCACTGATTAGTTTCTACAGATTCAGATTAGCTTTGTAGAGAACTAGTAGAATGCTGTGTGGATGGGTAAATGAGGGCACAGATTGTGTTAAAGTTTTTTGAGTATCTTGATTAGAAAGAAAGGTGTTATACTGTATAAGTACAGTCCATTTAGTGTTTATCTTTTTATCCAAATGACTTCTTCAGTCTGAGGCGCTGGGGACTTCTTCAGTCTATGGTGCTGCAACCTGGTTGCAAGAAGTCGTATGGATAAAAGATGAAACATTTCAACAAAGAAGAATCCATCCAGAGGACCTGACTCTAGCTTAGATGTACTTATCTTGTACTTGTTCATGTAACCGTTACCTCTTCAAATTGTTTAGTGCCTAATCTGAACTGAATTCTGGAGTTGGGCCTTTTTTACTGGAGAGTATTTTTATTAGGCACATCATTAAAGGCATTTTGAAGAAGAGTATAAAAATAAATAAATAATGGATAATATAAATTATCTGTTTTAATTTTTGTTTTGACAAGCATACATGAAGTCTAGTCCAACTTTAGAGACAGCGATTTAGGGAGCACTTGATTTACTTTTGGTTGAACGTTTGTTGCCTGTCATCCTTTAAGTTTGGTTCTGAGTGTACACATTAACTGACTGTACGTGTGGTTTCTTGAGCAGAGTTTCACAGTTTGATAAACCCGGGGACATTTTCAGTCTTTTGCCCTTATTAGTTTTCTAACTAGTCTTCAGTTTGTCATGCAGTTACCCAGAATTCACTGTGCCCTCTGCCGGTTGTATATTTCCGTTCTGTGGGCAACAACACACCACATTTCTTGTGTGTGTGTGTGTGTGTGTGTGTGTGTGTGTGTGTGTGTGTGTGTGTGTGTGTGTGTGTGTGTGTGTGTGTGTGTGTGTGTGATTTATTTATTTATTTTTTTCATTTTTCCTGTTTTCTTTCTGCATGTGAACAATATTTTAAGGGTTCTGTTATGTAATGGCAGCTATGAAAGTGGAAACGCCCCACTCTTCACCCAGTCATTGTCCTTATTGCACTCATTTCTTGGATTCTCCCTCATTCACATCTACTACACCCCATCTGCTGACCTCCCACTTCAGACTGTTGTCCACATAACGTGACCAGCAGACAGTAGACACTGAAGCAAAAAAGACAATCACTGATGTGAAATGTGCATCATCTGGGATTACAATTCATGTAACATTTACCTTTTAAATGTTTTTAAAAAACCACTACTTTCAACAATCGTTTGAAATGATGCATGACTTTTGCAAGGTAGCAACAAAAAAGATATTTACAAGTTGTAACTTTTGAGAAAATGGTAAAATTGGTAATAATAGCTTGTCTGAGTAGTTATCTTTTAGCAGTTTCATCTTTTAGTTATAATCATTCACACAGTACAATAACAATGACTTGAGAGAACTAATAATGACTTTATTTTATCTTTTAGAGTTTTGATTTGTTCTTAAACTTTGCTACGTAACGTTTCACTTTACTGTAACATTTACCTTAATTTGAACTTTAACTCACTTAGACCTCCAAACATGCATCTTTGTTGGACTTTATTGATGACCGTTATTATAGAGACACAAAACTCCATAAGGGACATCTCGTATAAACAAACTTCTGCCATATATAAAGAGAATACATTAAAATTGAATAACAAAGTTAATATCCGTAGACTAAATGTTAATTTGATAGCACCTTTTTCTTTTATAAATATGTTGCAGTGATTTGTGCTAAGTGACCACAATACACAGCCACAGATATAACTCTGTATACTATACAAAAAAATAAGCAGTATATGGGAATTCACTCATTCATGGATGCTGTGTATGTATGTACCTGTATACATATATGTAAATATATGTATATATGTGTATACATCTTATATGTCTAGGTGTAAATAGGAACATTCGTTAACATTTGTACATGACTTGTATCCCCCCAGAATTGCATCTTCTGCTCTATACAACAAAGTCTATGAAATGCATGTAAATTATGTATTCCTACACTGATGTGGAGACATTAAACACAATTGTGTTCAGTTTTGCATAGTGCACTGTACAATTTTGAATGACAATAAAGTTGATAAAGTTTAAAGTTTAATACTGTAGATTTTTGCAGTACTGAAAAAGAGAAGTGGAACATTAAAATGTGTTTTTCCCCATTTGGAAGTTGGCTTATATTAGATTTTTTCTTTGGTTATTATTTGCAAGAAGTTTGTGCATTGTAAGTAAAACATTTGTTGAATCTTGTGGGAACGTATCTGCAGTTCCCAGCTTTTTCTGCAGAGCTAAGTGACAGTGAACATTTCACCATCTAAAATAAAATTTAGCAACACTTACTTGCTCTTCCTGTCAAAACAAAGTGGAGCATTTATAGAATTTTCAAATTGCATACATATTTTTGAGCTCGTTTTAAAATATCATCTTGTACGCGTTTGCCACAAATCTGGATTTAAAGTTTAAGTTTAGTATATTTTACACCACCAGTTTCTTGATCTCAAATCTCAGGATTATCTGTTCATTCTTTAGATATCAGTTTCTACTTTGCCTCCCAAGTGTCCATCTTTAAAATTATATATATATATATATAACTAAATTAACCTACATCCATATATATATATATATCTATATATATATA